ACTTCATCTCCAGAGCTGCCCTGAGAGTCACATCAGCACTTTTAACATTTCGTTTGATAAAAACTATTGTCATATCATATACACATAAAAATTGAAAGGGTAGGGTTTTATGACCACCTGTCAAAATAAAAGTTTGGTTTGACTTGCATTTAATGAACTTGTGACAGAAATAATATTATTATTGCACAGAATGTACTTCTCAAAGTAGTAGTAGTAGTAATAATAATAATATAATTATAAAGCTTTATTTTTACAAGGATTGTTTTCATTTTAACAGCAAACCTCTGTTGTGCAGCACTTTGTTTACAAAGAAATTAATTTGATTGTTTTAAAAGATTAAATTGTTAATGTGTTATATCTTCATTAGATTACCAGCGTTTTTGGTCATATTTTGTATATATTTGATAATGTTTGTATTTAATCATAAATCGTGAATTATTAAATTGTTTTATGAATTCATTTGATTAGACATGCGTCTTGATTATAAAAATTCAATAAAAACCATTAAAACAAAATCTAGAAAAATTTTAACATAAAACACGGAATTTGGGGGAAATAAAATGGAATTTAGGGATATATAATTTCATGAATTTCATAGTGCCCTAAAATGTCATTTTGTTAAACTTTTCATAAATTGCTAATTTGGATAAGTTTCATGATTTCAATTAATTACACATGCTTTTTTTGCAACAAATCAGTCCTGATCTATACTTGTTCCGTTACTTAGATGTATGTATTTATATATTTACATAAATGCACGAATACATTTATTCTCCTTCATGCCATCTTCAATCCTAGCAAGTAAGGCACCTTGAAAAACGTATGATATGATGGCCCCTATAAACATCTGCTTTATGTGTATGTTCTTGTACTTGCGAGAATATGAGAGGGCATCCTCAAGTTGCTGTGCTTTGCACTTTCACTTGGTTAGCTGGCTCATTGTGGCACTTCTCCAGCACATTGTCATCTTTCCCAGAGGGCTACGCTGTTCTGTAGTCAAGGTCTGCATGCCACTGGACATGGGAACATACTCAACATGCTCTCTTTCGGTGAGCGATCTGTTTGCATTTGAGTGAATATTCAATCTCAAAACATTAACCCACTCTTGACCGAGATCGTCAGGTGTCATTGTTGCTGCGCTGTGAATTTATGTCTACTGTGATGCCTAGGAAGGTTGTAGATCTTTCAGGAACTTGCTTTGTTCTGTATGTGCACCTGTAGCATGTTTATGAGTGTATGACATCCTGTACCAGTGTAGTCTGTCCTGAGATGTTGATAGTAGTGTTTAAAGTCGCCCTTCTCTGCTCATTCTTTGCTCGTATTCTAATTTTTAAAACAGAATAACATTAATGTTCTTTTCATAATAAAAGTAACTCATTACTTTACATAGTTACTTTTATTGAAAAATGACTAGAGAGAGACTGCATTTATTAGTTCTTGTTACCAGTAAACCTACGAGTACAGATTTTCTGAAATGTTATGTTTAAATGCAAATGAGGCATCATCTAATTAAGTATGCACTAATTTGCATAAATGTCTAGAACAAAGATATGAACATTGGATGAAGCCAGATTAAAAATTATTGTTTCATTTTGTTGACAATATTCGAGTCAAAGGTTTTTACAGAGAGGATTTCTCTTTTCATCACTCCATAAATCAGAAAATACTGTCAACAGCCCAAAAAAATATATAAATAAATATATATATATTTTTAATTTAAGGAATAAAATGTATAAAATCAGGAGAAATACATATGAACAAATCCCTCTGTAAAAACCCTCAAAATACAAAAAAGTTTGGTGTATGCAAGTGCTGCTGAAGTCAAGATTTTTAGCTCAGTGCAGGAGAAAAAATAAATTTTCCTTTAAAGATATGAATTGTAATTTATTCCACAGACAATATGAAGTCCTATAAAAGAAGCACTTAGGCCTAACAGTGTATTTTGGATGTTTTCTTTCCATTAGTCTGAAAGAAACACTTTTAAAAAAATCTAAAAATTGAGAGATGCATGAAAAAACAGGCAAAGTAGTGTCTCAGCTTAAAACCTTAACCAAATCCAAAAATATATACATTAAAATATAGCTCTATATATGCCATATGACAATAGGAGTGATCCAGTTTTGACCATCGCACCACTTGCACAGTAGACTGCGTCACACGCACTGCATAGATCCACGTGACTGTATTATGGGAAAGGGAGAGATTTTCCGTAGTGTTTGTCAGTAAATAATGTTATGTCTGTATTTGTTATGTAAAGTATCGGGTATCTGCTTGAAATAAGAAATGAATGTCATTTGCGCATACAATTGTGGTTTGAAACTACCATGAATGTCTCTGGCACTGTCTGCAGCAGGCAAGTGTTTCAGCAACAGTTCAGCAGAAATGGATTTGGGATGTTTGTTGTCGTCAAGGCGTTACATTAATTTCTTGTCAATCCACGAGCTAGCATAACCCTGCCATGGTTCTCGCTGACCATAGCTTGACCCTTCCACTGTTTACTTTGCATTGTGGGACATGATTACAGCATGTCCTGCATACCGATGGACCAGACGGCTCTGTTTGTCCAACCATTTAACATTTTGCCCTGATGTTCTTTGTTGCTTTTCTTGTTTGACATAAATCATAATTATAAATGTGCTGTTTTATCCTAGATGTCTTTTAGCTCACATAGGCATGAATATGTTATGACTTTTATGACATAATGCATTTAAACTGGGCTGTTTTGATTCCTTCCTGGCTCCGCAAATGGAATGTCTCTTAGAATTAAGCAAGCAGGGATTTGTTCCATAATGTTGATGAATCATTACCCGGGCTGTTCACAGATCACTATGAGATCTCTTTTTTTTCTAACACAAATTAAGCATTTGCTTTTCATCCCTGTTGGGAAATTGAGCTAAAACAGTTTCTGACGGTGGCTGGTTTTATGTTTTCTAGTTGATCAGCTGCACTACCAAATGGGGCCTTCTTGGTCAAGGTGGTTGGAGCTGATAGGCTACCTTGGACTAAATACAAACCAGCTACCATGTCCTTAAACAAAGTTGCCAATAGGAGTGCAGACACAAGGTCACATGATCCTCCACCTGATACATTAGTATGTAAAAGTTGAGCAGAAACTCCTTCTGGCAGCCAACAGTTGAGACCTCCACTATTTAGAATCTACTCATTCCAGGCATAAGTTTTCTCTGCACATCTCCTGCCTGCAATTAAACACTTTCACAAAGTCTGATCAAAAATATCCCCCCCTGCAATGCAACATCTTGACATGTGCTTGCTCCTTATCTCTCTCTCTCCTGTTGTCAAGGCTGTACAGTTGGAAGAGGTCAAACTGACCCCCTCACATCTGTTGTTGGAGAACCGGCAAATCTGCACACATCCACCCACATCTGCTGCCAGTCAGATGGTGCACAACCGTGTTGAAGACAAATAATATTCCTCTTGCAGTGCGTTCCTGGTCCGCATCCTACAATAACAACTGCACTGTTTCTCCTGCGGCATTTCTTGACACTTTTTCACTCAGCCCCATCTGTATGTCAGCCTCGAGGAAAATGGGGTCTAGACTGCCTCAGAATATCTGCAAGCTCTCAAAGCTTCAACCTGGCCTGCTTTAGCTGTCTCTGCAAGAATTATGGATAAACTGAATTTATCAGCACAGCTTGACACAGACAAGTCGGTATTAAAGGGTCTCCTGGTGTTGAAATACATATTAGAATTTTTCAACTACATGGGGAAAAATAAACTGTCCAAACAAACCTTCACATTAATGTCTTTGCTGGTAATTTCCCAGTGATATAGAGTGGGAAAGTGAATGTATGTCATAGTTAAACCTAAGGCTACTTATACAGGGATTATAAATGATTGGGTTTGGATTTACTGAAACAGCAAAAGGGGCTTCCCAAGATCCTCTACTTGAAACAGTTTGCGTCCCAATTTGCATGCTGTCTATTGTAAATAGTATGCATTGGTTGGAGCTGATACACCACCACCATAAACAAACCAGCTACGATCTTCCTGAAGCATCTTTACCTTACAGGTTCAGAATAGCAGTGATTTGGAGAAGCATCAAGAAGACTCTCTCTCTCTTTTTTTTTTTTTTACGTTTGTGACAGGGATGCAATAAGTTTTCATTTAGTACACCCCACCCATGTAAAAACTGTATGTTAAGAAGTGTACTATTTCAAATTGATCCATGCATTCTTGTTCATATAATATTACTTACAACCTGTTGCGATATGGAAAAGGGAGTTTGATGGTTCTCTTATGACAATGTTTTAAAAATAGCAAAGAAATTATATTGCTCCTGATTTTTCTCTTTCCCTCTGTCCATCTGTCATTTGTGATTGCGGTTTGGTTAGCTGTTGGGAAACTTAAGTAGCAAAGACAGTTTGTCATAACCTATGTTCAGGGGTTTTAAGAAGAAGACTTTAGATGGTAATTTAATCGGAGGTGTGAGCTGTACAGACCAATGGAAAGTGAGAAAGGCGTCATGCATGGTGTATGATCCATTAAAGTTCTACATCCGTATGTGCAAATACAATAAATACAGCCTTCATCACTTTAGCAGATGTCCTTTAGAATTAGTAAGCAGACCACAGGTGATCTGGTTTGAATTGGAAAGCACAGAATAACACTAGGGTCATGTTTTCAAAGTCTTGCCTTGCAAGCTCTCTCTGCATGAGGCCTACTGTATGTGTTTGACCACTAAAAATGACTGAATGCTCGTAAAACCATTGGCAACATTGTGTTACTTTCCTGTTTTCACCATTCTTTTTAATGGACTCCTTTACAAGCACCGTACAGCCCAGTTGGTTTCATGAGCTGTGAGGACCCCAGCTCGACCGATTTGACCTGTTATATAGACAGTAGCAGGCACTGTGTTTATCTTAGCAGGCTGCCAGAGTTTAGTTCACATTGTGTTGTCCACTCTGGCACCATTTCAGTAGAAACGGGATATCATTTAACCCTGTTTCCCATCTCTTCGTCTGACCATCTCTCTTCATCAGGAACAGAGCACACTGTCCACAGCATCCAGTGAGTCAGAACGAACCGCTATGGACCTCGCAGCAGAGCAGTTGCGTACTTGGCCCAGTCTGAGCAAAGAGAAGCAGCAGGAGCTGGTGAAGAATGAGGAGAGCACAGTGTTCAGCCAGGCCATCCACTATGCCAGCCTGATGGTCTACCTGCACGTACCGCTGGATACCAGCAAATCCAAGCTGCTGCGCTCCACCCCTGCAACTGACTGGGAGAGTGGCAGCAACAGCATCCTCACAAACAGGCAAGAGACTTCCTTCTACAATGCTTTGCAAAATATGTGTTTACATTTGCATTTATGCATTTGGCAGATGCCTTTACCCAAAGCGACTTACTGCATTCAAGGTACACATTTTCTCAGTTTTGCTTTCCTTAGGAATTGAACCCATGATCTTGGCATTGTTAGTATGCTACCCTACTGCTTAATTATTTTAAAATAAAAACAAAATATAATAATATCTCATTTTCATAAGCAATGCTCATTTGCCTTACAGTTGACCTCTACCAGCAAATGATTAAAATATCTTCCACATTTTCTCAGCATAAAATCCCCTAAGTTAATGGATCATTGTGTTGTGAATATAAAGTTAGAGCGTAAGGCATAAATTAGGAAATATGTGTTTCGTGTCCAAATCAGGAAGTCCAAATCACTACATCAAACCACCCAGACACTGATTAATGAAGGTCATCACTCAAAATTCTCTGTGCGATCAAGGTGAACGCACATAGAGGTCAGTGATCACGTATGACGGAGATTCAGTACAGATTAAAGATGCAGCAGCCCAGGTGTCAAGCTTACGAGGATGGAACAAAATAAGCCATTGCTCAAAAGGAACCACGTGAAAGAAATTTTGAGTTTAAGTCAAGTCAAAAGACTTAATAGTAAATCATGATAGTAGAGATGTGGGAGATCTGGGTAAATTAATGCTGCCCCCAAGTCATAAACACAATGAAATATGGGGACTGTAGCATCATTCAAATACTTATGCAAACAGCATATTTCAAGCACAAGGTGCTTTATAACATTACATAATCATTTGAAAATAATTAAAATCGGTTTCAGTGCTTTGAAATAAAAATGTCACAAAGAAGCAAAATTTCAATGTGTCATTTGTAGTCCTGTAAAGTGAGAGAACGGGTTTAAACACTTTTGCAGGTCACTGGTGCTCCAGTACATCTGGCGTACATCAGATCAGTTAAAATGGAAAAGTCGCACAGCAGGGGCTGACGGTTGTCCTTTCACCTTGGTTACGAAACACACTTTCCAAATAAATCAGCTTGATTGTTTCTCAACATCTTCAACAGAAAATTGTACAGATGGTTCAGTCAGTGAGCAAAAACGTAAGTAGAAGTAGCCTGGTGTAGTTCCTCTAGAGTCCTATCCAGTTATACACCACATCCTTCTCAGCCCCTCCGGTAGCCTGAATGCTGCTCTGCTTCAGCAGAACCATGAAATGAGTTGGCCGTTTGTGGAGGGAGCACTCAGCCATAACCAAAAAAAGATGGAGGGATGGGAACGTAGAGCTTTGTAGTAGTATTAATAATAATATGTGTTAGTTTTGGGAGGCTTCATAGTCAAAATGGGTGATGTTCGGCCAAATGCATGTCTCCAGAGTTAATCTTTCCCTCCTCCTGTCCTTTTCTCTTCCTCTCAGAAAGTTTTCAAGGCCAATAACTGCACACTGAGAGTTTTAAGTGCTTGTCTCAGATGTCACATGTTTTCTTTTTCCTCTTTGTTTTTAATTAGTGGTGTTTGATATGGCATGCATATCATTTTACTTTTGCTTGCACCTAGGATTAGCGAATTTTGTAAATGACTTCTCAAATTATGTCTTGTGTTGAGAAGTACGTCGGCCAAATGCATGTCTCCAGAGTTAATCTTTCCCTCCTCCTGTCCTTTTCTCTTCCTCTCAGAAAGTTTTCAAGGCCAATAACTGCACACTGAGAGTTTTAAGTGCTTGTCTCAGATGTCACATGTTTTCTTTTTCCTCTGTTTTTAATTAGTGGTGTTTGATATGGCATGCATATCATTTTACTTTTGCTTGCACCTAGGATTAGCGAATTTTGTAAATGACTTCTCAAATTATGTCTTTTGTTGAGAAGTACACGATTAATTTTCTAAGCGATCAGACTTATCATTTTCACCTGCCAGACAATAAAATAGGATAAATCCTTTAAGGCAGGGGTTCCCAAACTTTTTTTGTCAGCCAAACTCTGAAAAAAATATTAATAACAGTATTTATTTCTTGGTAGTAGTAGTAATAGAGGTAATGTTTAACTGTAATTGTCAAAAGACAAATATATTACTGTTGTACATTACAATTTGACAGTATAATAAAAATATTTGATGATTATAATAATGAAATGCAGACTATACCGTTGCATTTGATTTCACTCAGCTATATCATGATGATTGTGCAGCCCCATTTATTTATTTTATTTATTTATTTATTTTAATAAAGTTACAGTATGTGCACAATGCTTTCAAAGTATACTCTACTCTGATCGTGACCGTATGAACTCATTCGGCATCACTGTGCTGATGATGAAAATCACATCACGATTGTATGAGTGCAGACAAGGGATAGATACTTTTGGCTTTAGGAAGAACCAGAGATTTGGGGTTTTGACTCTGAACACCCTTGGAATCACATAGCAATGTATGGGCAAAATGTAATTATCTCCTACAAGACTCATTAAAGAAAAGTTGTTCTTCTGCAAAAGTTGCTTTGATTGGGGAAAATCTGTACTGCCTAATTTTACTATAGACTTGATTTATTTTCTGCCTGAAATGTCAGGAACTGCTCTCTCTCTATTTGTAAACATAGTTAGGGAATTACATCGCTTTTCCACAGCACAATGTGCACTAAGGCCAGGAGATATCAGAGCCGTCCGCTTCTTAACAGTGGTATTTCAGACCAATTGTGTGCAACAGACTAAACAGACATTGAATTGTGAGGGCTCGGTAAACTAAAGTAGCAGAGTTACATCAAAGCCTCTTTAAATAGCTGTGTGTTATTTTAAGAATATTGAGAGTAACATTGCTTTTGTTGGTTGTGTTGTGTTAAAGTCTGCAATATAATTTGTGTCGTGCAACAAACAGTATTGCAGGGAGTGTGGCTGAGAGCTTTGACACTGAGAGCGGATTTGAAGACTCTGAGACCAGTGATGTTGCCAACTCTGTGGGGAGGTTCATCTCTCGTTTCATTGACAAAGTGTGTACAGAGAGTGGAGTGACACAGGGTCACATCAAGAGTCTGCATAATATGATTCCAGGTAAAACAGTGTGCAAAAACACAGAGCATTTAAACTCTTATTGCAGCAGTCTAAGACAGCTGTACATTGACGTGAACTTCAGTAACATTAAGATCGTAGGTTAAAATGTATATAGATGTACAAGGGTAAGTGTATATTTTCAAAGGTTGTAAGTGCTCATCGTTTTTACTAGTTGATGTCAGTAGTCCTCTTGTGAGAATTGAATTTATTGCTTCACAAATATTCCTTGTGGTCAAAACTGCATGGAAAATAATGATTGCACAATTTAAAAAAATGAAATTCAGAGTAGTTCTACAGTAGATGGATTTTGGTGTCTCACTCTGAATGACAATTCAAGATATTAAGTGGTTTTGAAACTGAAATGCATAGTACTGTGACCCAGTGTCCTAACCTGTCCACAAAGTTTCCTGAATCAAGGTATTTATCTGTTTCTTCAGGTCTTGTGGCAATGCAGATGGAGACTCTAGAGGCAGTTCATAGAGAAAGCAGAAGACTGCCTCCCATTCAGAAGGTAAGAGCTGAATGCTTCCCTACTATACAGTATACAAAAACCGTACGCCAAAAGAGTAGCATGCCCGAATTCATAATATTCAGAAAAAAGTAGACGAAAAGTACCTGGATGACCTACTACTTCTGCTGAGATTCTGAAGTGTGCAGTCGATGGAAGCTTTACTATCCCATGAAGCCACGGGATAGAGGATTTATGAATGGCAATGAAGCAACGCAACTGACACTGGTAGATCATGTGACAGTAACAACATGGCTGATGTCCGAATTTCATTCATATTACCCATATTCATACTATAAAGAACATACTTTTTTAATGGTCAAGAAGTAAGTTCAAATTCAAAAGTAATACCTACTCAAGACAGTATGCGATTTCGGATGCACCGATTCACCCAAAAATGAAAAAGAAAAAAGTTTGTTCATCAGAACAGATTAGGAGAATTTTAGCAGTACATCACAAGCGCCGTGATTTAAAAAAAAAAAAAATTCATCAAGACGTTTAACATCTTACAAATCAAACTCTTTCATTTCTGACTTGAAAGACTACTTGTGTTGTCTGTATAGTTGTTCGTTAGACAATGTTTAGTTAAAGATATACATTTACAAAACTGTTTTTGTAATTCATATTTTAAGGTATAAATTAAATATTTAAAACATTAAAATGTATCAGTATTACACCAAAATAGTATTGTTTATGAAAACTCTGCCTGACTTCATTGACAAACGTCAAGTGATGATAAATGGAGACACCTCTAAGATGCTTTGGTTAAAGAGGGAATTCTGAGCTGGTTTCTGTACAGGACCAAGTTTGTTTTTCGGAAGAAGATTTCGGAAGTAGATTGTTTATTAGTGTACAAATCCAGGGAAGTAACTGATGGAGATCCCAACTGGCATCCCCAGTGTGAGGTGGAGTGTTCTTCAAATACCGCAGATTTCCACAAAACAAATACTTGCTGTAGTTCCCTTTTTTCCTAAGTCGGTTCAGTTTCAGTTCTTGTCACCCTTCTGAATCCAACTAATGAGCTAGATAATGACACCAGGACGAGGCCAGGAAAGAGCACGCTGTCTGGACAGTGTAAAAATTGATGGGTTGTGTCTCTGGTGGTAAACAGACGAGGCTTGAGTGTGATTACTGTGCCTGGAAATAAACCTAATAAATGATGCTTACTCCATCATTAAGAGAATCGTTTGTTGTCCGTCAAAAAAAGCAGACCACAAAGACTTGGCTTTTTTTCTGGTACAAACTGAATAACAATGTAATGTTATATTTCTGTTTAGGAGAAAGATAGTGAACGTAATCATCTATGTACCACAGCATTTGCTCCTGGTCTTCAGCTGACAATGATTTTTTTAATGACAATGATTTTCTCCAGCCCAAGATCCTGCGGCCTGCCCTGCTGCCTGGAGAGGAGCTGGTGTCCGAGGGGCTACGGGTGGTCTTAGACCCAGATGGTCGAGAGGAAGCCACTGGTGGCCTTCTTGGAGGACCGCACATTTTGCCAGCAGAGGGAGCACTCTTCCTCACCACTTATCGTATCGTTTTCAAAGGCACTCCACACGACCCACTAGGTAAAGACAATGTTGTGACTTTTCGGAATTCCTTCTTGAATTTTGTGACCTGTTTTCCAGAGTATCAGAATAATTCCAAATGTGACATTGATTTTATACAACAGTTCAGTCAACAAGTAAGTTAATATTAAGTGACATTTTAGACAATGTTGACTGCTGAAAATAGTTCCAAACAAATATTAAAGCAGAGCAGTCATGCATCTTTGAGCAACCCACAGCCGTGTTTCGTTACTAAATGATTCAGCGTTTTTTTAACTAATCAGGTGAGTCAATGATTCAATGGCCCATTCGTAAAGAATGTTATTTGCTTCATTCTTGAATGAATCAGCTCTTTAAACGATTTGAAGTGACTCACTTATTAAGACAGTCACTTGCCACCACCTACCAGTGGTTTAGTTTCACATGTAAAAGTATCTTTGCATTTGTACCAACATTTCCTATTTGTATATTTAAAAAAACATTCAAACATTAATCTCATAACATTATTTATGCAGTAATTTTGCAATGTAAATGCATTCATGCAACCTCTGAGCTTCATTAAACAGTCTGTGTAAAAGCACTTAAATGCCACTTGATGCAGCTTCTGTGTTTCCTCTACAGTGGATTTTGTAGATACTCATTTTGTTTCATCGATAACATCCATGTAGTGTCTTATTATTCTAAATTAATTTATATACTCTTTATAAATGCATGGAAATCAGTTTAAGGGGCCTATTATCATATGCTTGTTTAATAAAGTAAGAGCTGATAGAACACTGATGAGAATATTTCTTCAGAATAAATGAAAGTTCACCACAAAAAAAAATTATTAAAAATGTTTACTTGGACAAGTGAATGATGAAATTGCTTGTCTAAATGATAAGCACATGTCAAGGCTTAATGCGTTTAAGGGGCCTATTATCATATGCTTGTTTAATAAAGTAAGAGCTGATAGAACACTGATGAGAATATTTCTTCAGAATAAATGAAAGTTCACCACAAAAAAAAAATTATTAAAAATGTTTACTTGGACAAGTGAATGATGAAATTGCTTGTCTAAATGATAAGCACATGTCAAGGCTTAATGTCAAGCACTGCATAGAGTGCATCTCATACATTTAGTGCATGCATGAAGTTTTGGTTACCTGGACTTTCAGTGGAGGAACAAAAACCTCTCAGGTTTCATTAAAAATATCTTAGTTTTTCTTAATTAACCAAAGTCTTTTGGGTTTGTAACAACATGAGCATGAGTAAATTATGAAAGAATTTACATTTTTCGGACTACCTATCCCTTTAACAATGCCTAGGCCATATGTGCATTTATGCACATTCAAACTTGCCGCCACATCACATCATGTTTGACGTCAAACCAAGTTTGTTCTAAATGCATTTGAATCTTTTTAATTGAATTCATATGGGTTTGGAACAAAGCGTGAGTAGGTGGTGGAATAAGTTTGTTTGAAAGAGGTTGGAGAGTTGACTGTTCTGTATTTTGATAGTTTTACCTTGCTGTGTTCATGTGTTTATGTTTGTGTCTGTGTGTGCGCAGTTGGCGAACAGGCCGTGATCAGGAGTTTTCCGGTATCCACTCTAACTAAGGAGAAGAAGATCACCATTCAGAACCAGCTACAGCAAAACATGCAGGAGGGGCTTCAGCTGAGATCTGCCTCTTTCCAGGTTCTGGCGCACAAAATATGCCATGCGGCCAATAAATGGCTTCAATCTAAATATTTATTGTCCAGATATGTTGAATATTACACTTTTTTCCTGTTTGTTTTAAGAAGATGTGAATAATGTGCAGTAAAGTTAAGACTTGGTTTGGGATGGCATTGTGCATTAGTAAATTGTGTTTTTTGTTCATATATTTTTTATGTGAAATACATATTGTTTGCATATTCCTCAACAATTCTTGACGTGACACAGCTTACCCCTAACATGGGGAAAGTTGTGTCACTGGACCACAGCAGACATAACGTTTCTTTTAAGAGGTTAATTTTAAGTGCTTAACTTTCCCTACTTCCTGTATTTTGGTTTGAACCTACAACTTCTCTGTTTTGCCTCACCATCCAAGTTTTTATCAGAAAGTCGTTCCGATTTCAGTCAACCAGATTCAATATGTTTTAAAAGCACTTTTTTATTAGAGCACTTATTTAAAAATGCCTCTTTAGGAACAACTTGATTAGGAGTGATGTTTGCTGAAGAGGAATGTGCATGTTTCCGACGTCTCTCTGTCTCATTATCATGAAGTCTCTTCATGGATGAGGACAGAGCAAGAGAAACGCATGTTGTGTTCTTCACTATGCATGGACTATAGGGCTATAAAGATTTTATGGCTCATTCCTATCGTTGAACAAACTTAAGCTATAAAATCAGGCCTTGTATGGAAGCGAGGGTCATTTGTGCTGGTCTGCCCACGTGTGGCTGCCAGCAGTTGGTGTCTGGGGTACATTATCAGACCCTCATTAAGACCTGCAGTCCAAGCGAAATCAGATCAGACCCCTGAGGAGCAGAGATAGAGGAGTGCTGGGGAGGTGGAGAGGGGATATGGGGTTACACAGACAAGCATTTGCACGGCCAAACCTCATTTTGGAATGTTCTCCCCAGAAAAGTGGGGAAAGATCTTGTTCCATACTGCTATCCAGCTCCGAGCACTTCTGCAAGTAATTTCTCTTGCCCAAAAAAAAAAAAAGATTATTTGCAGATTGTCTTGCATCATGAAGGTGTGGCGGCTCTATTAGTTAACTATTAGTTAAATCACTCTGTATAATATAGTAGTTGGACAACTGGTCTGACTGTATGTCCTGCTTTGTTTTAGCTAATTAAGGTGGCGTTTGATGAGGAGGTGAGCTCAGAGATGGTAGAGATCTTCAGGAAACACATGCAACGGATCCGCTACCCACCATCCATCTTCAGTACCTTTGCCTTTGCAGCGGGACAAACGGCACCACAGCTCATATTACCCAAGCAGAAAGAGAGAAACACGGGCTTTCGGTTAGTGCAATATATGTTTTCATAATGTTAATTTAGGATTCAGTGTTGAGTTGTGTTGTTCCTTTTATTGCTATTGTTGAGGCTGCAACAAACTCTTGATATCCTGATCAGAAATACAACACTCAAGCAATGCTTCACTGCCCCAAACTTTTGATTCTATCATTATTTATCTATCCTGATGTCAGTCCAAACCCATATGATTTTCTTTCTCCAGTGGAAATGGGGTTGAAAGAGGACTGAGGACATCAAGCTCTAAAAAGGATGCACTATAAAATTAGTCTATATGGATATGCACTATATTCCAAGTCTTCAGAGTGCATGCGATTGTATTATGTTTGTCACGCAAAACTTATATACTGAATCTTTTCAGGGGTCTATTAAGTGCTATGACTGGATCACTGAGTCAAGCTGAACTTGTCCAATTCATAAATGAATCATTCAAACTAGTTTTGCAACATGTATAAAAACAGATTCATTGATTTCAAAATCAGACTCAAAAGAATATCACATTAATTGATTAGACATCACTACTTATCTAATGAACTCTTTTGAAAACACCAAGAAGAGATAAAGCCCATGTCAAGATTTTGAGTATAAAACAACTTAATTTTCATTCTGTTCTTCACAAACCTGTCGCATCACTTCAGCAGACTCCGAATTTAGCACACACGTCATATGGACTACTTTAATGATATTTTATTTTATTTTTGGAGCTTGACCCCAGTGCTCATTCAATTTCATTATATTTAAAAGAGTGGCCAAGATGTTGTTAAATTGTCCTTTTGTGTTCCATGGAAGAAAGTAAGTCATGAAGCTTTGGAACAACATGAGGGTGAGCAAATAATAACCACATTTTTGGTATATTGGTCAGTTAAATGAAAATCTGTTTCTTGTAGAACACTATCTAAGACCATTGTGAAAGGGGCTAAAAGGGCAGGCAAGATCACAATGGGCCGCCAGTCCACTCTAAAGAAAAACGAAAAGGGCAGTCGCATGACGTGGCACGAGGATGATGACATCTCCAGTGAGTATAGTTCAAACTGTTAGAAAAATGTCTTATGTCAGCAGTCATTGCCCTTCAGTTGTGTGATGTTGATGTTTCAGTCTCAGATGATGGTGAGCCCCCTGCCAGCAGCACACTGAAGACCTCCGAGAAGTCCACTATGGAGCAGTTAGTGGAGCGAGCCTGTTTCCGTGACTACCAGAGGCTGGGCCTGGGTACCATTAGCGTTAGTTCCACACGGTTTAAAAGTGGAGAGCAGTTCCGAGTTACGGCGGTCAACAGACTCTACTCATTGTGTCGCAGGCAAGAAGCAACCCAACACCTAGACTTTTGTTCGAAAACCTAGTGAGCAGCCTTGCTGCCTACTGCCTGCCTAGACAGCAACTCTGCAAGCTGCATAGTGTTCTTCACAAGATTCATGACATTTAGTAGTCTAAAATTACCACACATTTCTAAGCTGACCACACGATACTTTAATTTAGGTTGAAAAGATTTAGATTTGTTTAAGAAATTTTTTTCAGCTCATTCTAGGAATGGCTTACCGTATCTTTAAAGGAAAAGAATGTGATGGTGCCTTAGAATTTGGCCAAATCAAGGTATCTTAATTTTGCTGCATATTATTTGGAATAGCCTTTGTGTCAGGACACCCCGTGATGCCTTAAAGTCAGCATGAAATGAAAATTCACTGTTTTAGTAATGCATGTTATAGTTATAGTAAAAATAAGATTTTTTTTTATTTTTTTATAAATGTTACCTTGTAATGTTCAATCAAAAAGCTCACGTTCATCTGCATCCACTTTTAAGTGCAATGCCCACATCTGGCATAAAACCAAGTCTCTGCACTACATTTGACTTGTTCTGATAATCTGTTTCGCTTGGATGTACATCTCAATAAAAAAAGAAAAGCTCTTTTGAAACTTCCGTTTCATCGCAACTTTTAAGTGCTGTCAAAATTGATTTATCATTTAAAATTCAATTCAATTGGTCATCAAAGCAAATTTTCTAAATGGGGATAATATCCATGGTTTACAGTTACCCTGGTCTCCTGGTGGTGCCTCACACTGTGCAGGACAGCAGTCTCCATAAGGTGTCCCGCTGCTACCGGCACAACCGCCTGCCAGTCGTGTGTTGGAAACACCTTCGCACCAAAGCGGTTTTACTTCGTTCGGGTGGTTTTCATAGCAAGAGTGTGGTTGGACTTTTCAAGTCTCAGAACCCTTCTTCAGCAGGTATGTTTGTGCAGTAAAATATGCATATTACATCAAGCAGTCTTGGGGATGGTTGACAATCAGACAGGGCTGTAAATATTTGCTCCGACTAAGATTATAATTCTGATAAAAGATTAGTCTCAGTCCGAGACAACATGCCCCCACAGCCTGTTCACTGACTATCTAATGCATGTTGCAAACAACACTGGACAGTGGTTACTTGATCTGGCAAGTGCTAATCTTGATTGGATGACTTCATGCAACTTTCGAGAACATGTTTGTTTTTTTTTCTACAAAGTACCAGTTTGATGCAACAAGCACTTTTGAGGATGAAATAATCACTGGATTTGACAAAGGTAGCCAGACTTTTCACTGAAACTACCACAGCATTAGTTAAATATTCTTCATGGCCGTCTATTATTTTCAGAAATACTCACCCCTAAACAGAACATAAAGAAAACAAACTGTGGTGGGTCATTTTTTTTTGTCTAACTCAGTGTCTTCCTGTCGTAGGTGGTTTTTGGCCAGAATAAGCTGCAATGTGGACCAGACCTTTGGCCATTTAGTCCTGTTCTCAACATTTTTGACAGAATGCCACCAAAATATTGGCACCATAAGATATTTCCTCTAGGATTTCTGCTGTAATTATGACAAGGCTGCTTGCTTTCAAAACTTTTTTATTAACAGGAACTGGGAGTATTGATGTAATTTAATTAAACACGATTCGTTTTGGGATTCTATAAAATTTTGTATGTTTTTCAATACAAACAATAGTTATTGAAGGGAAAAAATATGATTTCTGTTCTAGGTTGGACCAAACTGGCCGATACCGATTAATCAACCGATAATTTTTTTTATGGATATGGAGCGAAAACTAAAATAGTGCTTTACTATAAAAAAAAAACTTATTGAACCATACTTTGTACATGAATAAAAATATTAATATTAAATATTAATTATATATTGATCATTTAAAATAGTTCATAGTTCATTAACTAATGTTAACAGAAGCAACTTCAAAATTTAAAAATGTATTAGTAGATGTTTAAATTAGCACACTCTAACTAGATGGCCATCTTTAAATATCTACACAAAGGCCATAGCATTGGAATTACATACATATGGATATTGAATGTATACTCTCACACTTTAATTGCTTCTATTCTAGAACACGTGATGATTATCTGATCAAAATAGCAAAATATGGCAGTCGCACACCAGGCAAAAAGCGCAGCATCTAATGCAACATCTAGTCAACAAATTAATTACTCAATCATATAAAGACATGCACTATAGTGCACTCTATATACACCGTTTCGTCTGTTTTAAATTCGCATCTGAATTTTCCCACACTGTGCAGAGCGCTGTATCACGTGTCAAAACAAACAGCACGTGGTGTCAGTGAATTACACCTCTAGAGGTCGCTCTCGTACTGTTTAATGACAGCAGACCTGCTCAGCTGCTCCAGCAACGGACGCAACCCGGAATAACTATCGCCTTGGATTTTTGCCGATAATTCCAGCAACCAGCTATCGTGGCGATTGATCGGCAAAGCGGAAACATCGGTCGACCTCTAGTCATAAGGGTTTGAAATAACATGAGTGTGTGTAATTGAAGACAGAGTTTTCAGTGTTGGATGAACTAGTCTTTTTTATTTTTTAAACCCCGTTATATAATCTTGTTATTGTATTTGTCTGTTATGTCTAGTTTTGAACATGTCTTAGTATAAAACATGTTATGTCAGCTCATGATGGGTTGAGTTCTTGGAAAAGAGCTCATAATTTTAACAGAGCTTGGTTAAAAGATGCAAGTCCCAGTTGATGGGTCTAAGATGACGTCATGATTCAGTGATGTTTCCTGTCATATTTCTTGAAATCTGGGTTATAGATAGCAGCTGCTGCTTGAAGACTCGTTTCTTTGCTGTTATGCACTGAAATTAGACAGGTCTCAATCTCACCACAGCCAAATATACTCCAGCAGGTGCAAGCTAAGACATTTCCCATCATGTGCTCTTCACAGAAATGTGGAACTGATTTTTCACTTCCTCATTTTTGGTAACATATATATATATATATATATATATTTTTTTTTTAGTGGTGTTTGTTAAGTCAAGCATCACCATTATTATTGCTCATATGTATGGGAAGGAATTTGAAAAAAATATATATATATTTTTTAAATTGTTAATAAAAAGTATTAACTTGCAGGGCATGGTTGACAATATCAACTAATCGATTTTAATCTTTATTTTCATAAACTGATGTCAGTTTTTAAATTCCAAAATCAATCTTTTCAGCGTTGTAGCTAAAACATTATTAGTTATAGCACAAAATATGAACATGAATGAAGTGTAATATTTTAACCGTTAGTTTGCAATGAGTGAGAGATGGAGATGAGCGCTAAAATAAAACCCTGCCCTCTATTCAATATTCTGTTTTAGTTGGAAAATATGTCACTATACTGAAATACAGTCGGCAGCAACTTCCGGTTCACGCAGACTTTAAAGATTGGTTTCCTTGAGGAAAAAAATTGACATGTACTGTACCTGATATATATTCAATCAAATTGATATTGAATCCAAATTTGATTGATCAAGAGCTTGTGAATTGACCCTTCACAAAGACCCACCCCCCTTCGTTACTGTTTGTTACTGTTACTAATTGCGGAGCAAAGAAGAAACTGACAACGCACTGACAGACAAGACAGAGCAGGTTACTTTAGGTATGAAACAAAGGCAAAAGCTTTCAATCTCGATAAGCTGAGCTGCTAATGACTGTCCTGTCTGTCTTCAGAGGGGGTGATTGTTGCATGTGTGTGAATTTTGTTTTCTGTTTTTATTTCCCGTTTCTGTGCCACCACCAACTCCTGCACCCTTAATCTACCAGTACTCGGGTACAGGGATAAACTATTCACTCACTCAAACCAAAAAGCTTCAGCTAAGGGAAGAATTCACAATCAAGGTATAGTTTCTGTTTTACTCATTCTTACTAACATAATCAGTACTGGACTTAATCCATGTTCTCAACCTCTCTTTGACCTCTATCCATGCCTCTGTAGTGTCTGAAAGTTATACCACAATGACTTTTCTGGTTTCCTGAAGTAAACTTGAGCGTGGCAAGAGCACTTCTGTTGTAGTTTGTTCTGGCAGGTCTGTCGTGACTGCAGTTTTGAGGTTCAGTTGTATGTTAGTGAATGTAGTAGCTGATGACAGAGCACTGAATCATCACTGATGTGCAGCACTGACCCCGTTTACTAAGTGAGCCAACATTCAAAACTGAACTCTCCAGGACAAATATTAGGCAAGTGGTCAGTAAACTATATGATAATGTGCTTCCATGGTAGTATGTTGCATACTATTGAGATTATTACTCAGGGCATTGGCTAATATCTTACCGGCCAATAAATAATTTTAAATTTTTTGAAAAGAAGTCACTTATTCTCAACAAAACTGCATTTATTTGATCAAAAATACAGGGAAAACAGTGGTATTGTGGAATGTTATTACATTTTAAAATTCGATTTGAATATATTTTAAAATGTAATTTATTCCTGTGATGAAAAAGCTGAATTTTGGTGCTCAATAATAAGTTCTGATTATTAGCAATGTTGTATGTCAGTTGTGCTGCTTAATATCTTTATGGAAACCATAATACACTACCATTCAAAGGTTCGGAATTAGCTAGATAAAAATATGTATGGAAATTAATACTTATATTCAACAAGGCATTAATGCATCAGTTTAGATTCCTAAAATATTTGTGTTTTCTCTTTATTATGACAGGTGGTCTAATAAATTTGTTAAGCACATACAGTGCTTAACAAATGTATTAGACTATATTTATTGACTGTAATTGGGCATCTGAATAAAAAATTATAATAAAGTGTTTTACCATTTTTTCTGCCTTTGTTGTAAAACAGTAAATTAAAAAAATTCATGGATAACAACAATTATATTTTAGCATTGCAAATACTACTGTGACTAAAGAGCTTACACACACCGGTGGATTAAGCATTACAGAAACATGAAAAATGATTTTGGTAATCAGCTGTACTGTTAGTTTAGGGCAGCTGTGGCACAAACCTTACATTGGGTGGTGTTGGTCTAATACATTTAGCACTGTGTGTGTGTGTGGGGGGGGGGGTCATCCTTTAAAGTTCTTCACATCCCCTACCCCTTACATGTTTAACATGTTTATGTGGCTAATTTGATTATTTTAAGCTACCAATGAGTGTATAGTACTCTAAGCTCCTTTTAGCACATTTAGCATTGCCGAGTTTGTCCGTCCTTGATATTGGTTACGTGGGGTTGTTTTTCCAAAGTGATTTTTGTAATCCTGCCTAACCTGATGTTTACACACATCTGTTGTATCCCCTCTCTCCTAAAGGTGTGTGGGCTAGTCTGCGGTCTAGCAGCAGATTCATCCAGCATCCCGCTGCTGCCGATGTGGGCACGCGGTTGGCTGGCAAGGATCTGGCGCCCCCTACAGGCATTGAGAACCTACAGGCCCAACTCCTCAAGCATCAAGCCGCTCTCTACATCTTTGGCGAAAAGTCTCATCTCAGGGTAAAGATGTTACACTTACTATGACTTCTTCGAGAGAAGAAGCTAAGGATTTGATGCAGACCTTGTATGATGAACCTTTTAGAGGAAAGGAGGCCAAACATTTATGTGTTGAAGCGTACCAGTTCATATCACCCTGAAATACTTGGACAGTGTTCTCTCCAGTGCACAATAAATTTGTAACTAGATAAGGACCTCTTAATAGCCATTTATAAAAGCCCTGATTTATTGACACAATTTGTCTGTTTTTGGCTGAAATGATATTACATTTGGATGCCTGAAGGAACTTTGTGCTGCTTTTTACCTTTATTGATAATGTGTTTCTTTAACATTCAATGTAAAATTTGTATTCCAAATGAACAGTTGGAATAAATCAGCCCTATTGTGGACAGTTAAGTAAACTCCAAGTTATTTGGCGGGTCCTACTCGGTACATTAACTGTCTGAATTTTGGTGGTTGCCTGTGAAGTGGAAATTTAATTTCATCCATATTAATAAAATAGTTGGTCTGCTCAAATTTATAGCCTTGGATAGAATATAATAAAAGCTTTTTGAGATACAAATTTGACTCAGGTCGGGAAACAAGCAAAGCTTCTAAACAACATTTTACCCAGAGGCACAATCCAAATGTTTGGTTCTATGCTCCGTTGTTTTCCAGAAATGAAACAAAACAAAACAAAATTCAAAGTTTGTACCAAATGCTTTTCCATGACAGGGCTTAAGGCTGGACACAGCACTGAACTGTGAACTGGTGCCAGTAGAGTTTGCAGACACAAGACAGGTGAAGGGCTCCTTCAAGAAGCTTCTGAGGGCGTGTGCACCCAGTTCCATGTCCTCAGACACAGAGGACTCATTCCTTAAGGCTCTGGAGGAGAGCGAATGGATGCTACAGGTTAGCGTGATCTGTTAGCACACACAGATACCTGTTCTGTATTAAAACTACTCCTGCACCTTCCCCTTATTGTGACTCGAAATGGCCTATATCTTGAGAAAACCAGAAACACATTGGCCTGTGTGACTCTGACCCTGTTGAAAAGTAACACAAGACAGGTGAAGGGCTCCTTCAAGAAGCTTCTGAGGGCGTGTGCACCCAGTTCCATGTCCTCAGACACAGAGGACTCATTCCTTAAGGCTCTGGAGGAGAGTGAATGGATGCTACAGGTTAGCGTGATCTGTTAGCACACACAGATACCTGTTCTGTATTAAAACTACTCCTGCACCTTCCCCTTATTGTGACTCGAAATGGCCTATATCTTGAGAAAACCAGAAACACATTGGCCTGTGTGACTCTGACCCTGTTGAAAAGTCTTTCCTTAAAACTAGTCACCCATGGGAAACTGTGCAAGACAAAGATAGGAAAATTGCATGACACAATTAAAGCAAAACGATGTTGCTTACCACGCTGAAAGCCATGCACTCTCAAACCCCTTTGGCCTTATGGCCCACTGTGTCTCAGACACTAAAACAATATTATCAGTAAGGATCCTTGCCAAGACCCTCCGAGAGCTCTTAGTCAGCAGTGTGCATTACAATAAATGTACAGGAACTGCTAAACTTAGAATGTGTTGTTTTGTACTCTGTATGTGCGTGTTCAACAGCTACACAAGCTGCTGCAGCTGGCTCTGGTTGTGGTGGAGTTGCTGGACTGTGGATCATCTGTACTAGTTAGTCTTGAGGATGGCTGGGACATTACCACTCAGGTGAGCATCATCTCACACACGTGCTGTAGCGTGACAATTCAACAGTCCTGTTCCTTCTGCTTATTAGATGCTTGTTTTAGAGCCTTGTCTTTGCCCATTGTCAGGCAATAAATGGAATTTCCAACATAATGTTTCCATACAGGATTCCCAATGCACCTTCAATCAAATTTCATTGTTCAAAAGAAAAAATTATAATAATAATATCCGATTTCCTGAGAAACATGTTATAGCAGGTAGTGCCACCCCAAACCTACAAATGCCTAATAGTCGTCTTTGCACAATAAAGTTGGCTAGGAGAACATATTTGAACATGTCTATTTTGAATTGAAACTTGAATTTTATGCTATTGCAGTAGAGACATTTTTGTAGTCACAGCTTATATTTTCCATGCCCACTTGATCAGTTCATGAGAAACAGAATTGTGTTTTCTGAGAGTCAGCTGGGGTTGTTAAATGTAGCCTGTGGTCAGAATCAGGCACGTGTCTGAACAAGACCATTCCTGTTCATTTCCCTGCTTCTTGACCATGCTGCCATTCTCTCTGTAGGCCTGATCTGATATATTCATCTAAATAGGCTCCATGTGTCTGGCTCTTTAGAAGAGAACAGAATCACGTTGTTGTAACATGGCCATGCTTTCAGTCTTGGAAGGTGTTGTGATATTGCTTATTGCTTTGTGATATTAACGAATTATATTTCTGTAACTCCTGGAAATAGGTTCTGTCGAAATTCTACATTTGGTTAGAGCAATGCTTTATATGTAACATTTAAATTTTATTATCTGGCTGACACTTTTTTTGAAGTGGTATTCACAAATATTTACTTTTGCATTTTTATTGCATCTCAGAGTGAAATTGAAAACTGAATAGAATACGGGGCTTGATTTTAGGGCACCCCCTCACCATCTCTAGCTCACAGCAGACTGACGGTTGGTGGAGTGGTTAAGAATGTTGTGCCCAAGCTGTCAAACTGTCATCATCAGAGAAGAAATGCCATTACAGAGTGAAAGCTAATTTTCAGATTTTGGCTAAAGACTATGAAAACTGTTTTTTTAATGTGGATAAATTGTTCACCAGAAGACTGTTAATGTACAGTAGTAGGCTCAATTCTGATTTCATGCAGACCTTAAATACTTGGGACAAACAGTGTAGACCATTATGTCACTCAAGATGAGTCAGTCTCTATGAAACAACATCTATCACAAAAATGTGAATTTTTTTATTTATTTTGTTTTTCATTTTGGACGCTTAGTGTACAGAATATTGCACAAAGGTTGCCACAAAGTTCTGGGAGAAAAAGAAAACTAATAGGCAGAGTTCTGATGGTAAATTTTTTTTGTCAGGTAAAAGCTGTGAGATGTGTGAGTTGCGACAGTGATATATGCATTGGGTCAGCAAGGGTCAAATCCAATAGGGCCAGCATTTACTCGCACTGGGCACTTGTCAAGCGTCGACCCGTTTGTAACTCATGGTTATATTCCTCTCTTCCTCTTTCATTCCTTCTCTACTGTTTCTGCAGGTGGTTTCCCTTGTGCAGGTGCTCAGTGATCCATTCTACAGGACCTTAGAGGGGTTTCAGGTGCTTTTGGAGAAAGAGTGGCTGTCTTTTGGCCACAAATTCAGCCAACGTGGCAACCTAACCCCCAGCAGCCAGGGCAGCGGCTTCACTCCCATCTTCCTCCAGTTTCTTGACTGTGTCCATCAGGCAAGTTGACTTTATGAGCAGTCATGTAGCTGACACCTTTATCCAAATGAGCCCGGGGTTGCTTGCCTTGCTCAACGAGATAATGACTGATGATGAGATCTTGTTCTTGAACTAGCAATCGTCTGATGTTTTCTGTTATCTGGGGTGGTGGAGTCATAGTGGTTAAAGGCTGTAGGTTCAAACCACAGATGGAATACCTCATGAACCTCATGACCATTTTGCACTTGAGCAAGAAGTTGTGGCCTAATGGTTAGAGAGTCGGACTCGTAACCCAAAGGTTGCGGGTTCGAGTCTCGTACCGGCAGGGATTGTAAGTGGGGGGAGTGAATGTACAGCGCTCTCTCCCACCTTCAATACCACAACTGAGGTGCCCTTGAGCAAGGCACCGAACCCCCAACTGCTCCCCGGGCACCGCAGCATAAATGGCTGCCCACTGCTCCGGGTGTGTGTTCACGGTGTGTGTGTGTGTACTTTGGATGGGTTAAATGCAGAGCACTAATTCCAAGTATGGGTCACCATACTTGGCCACATGTCATGTCACATGTCACGTCACATCACATTAACCCCAGGCTGCACCAAATGGGACTGTCCATGTTCATTTTGGAGAAGTGTCTGCTAAATAACAAATAACCAATTGCTCCATCTCTTTTTCACACACTGCCCAGAATCACTTCATAACTCCCAATCTCTGCCTCACACACCACCCTTGTCTTGTTCCCACCATGCTTCGTCCATGAGCTCACAGCATTCCTGCAGCGTCCAGCCAGAAGGAGGAGGACGAGAAAGACTCAGCTGTCAGAATGCATGCTCTAGCTTTCCTTTTGCAATTCCCATGGTGGGCAAGTAATTTAGACAGAGCTGCTCCTTCGGCACATCTACCTACCTCCAACCCCCTTTGAAATGATCACACACAGATGGTGTTTCAACCTGCAGCCAGCATTGTCCTGGCTGGAGTGTTTCGCCATCAGCACGTTTAGTGGAAAACTGCAATTTTGGGGTTTCTGTTCAGTCTGTGCTAAATTAAGTTAAGGGCAGGAAGAGTTTTTCTCCCTCCAGAGACAATGTCCACCACTCCCATGCGTTTACAGACATGTACTGATTTTAGGCATATTTGATGAAATCCAGGCGTAGAGAATTTGAATGACCCAGTGGAGGTCCGGCAATGTCACAGACCACAGAGATATAGAGAAAGCATCTGAAAATAAAAGTGTCTCATCTTAGAGGCAGCTGTTGTTTTTGCCAGGAAGTCCAGGTGGCCTCGAGTGTGAGAACGTTGCAAGCTCTTCTGTCTAGATCCTGTTGGCTGTACATTATAACATTATGTCCCTCCTGTTGCTGTTATTTTTGTACATTTTAAATTCCCTTCAACTAATCATTTCCTGGGCATTTATTAATCATTTTCTTGAACTGCGGTCTCAATGGTGTTCTACTCATATTTGTTGAATTACTGTGGCTGTGAAATGAGGCTAGAAATCTTCTCCAGTGTGACGCATCGACTTTCTTATTCCAGGTTCATAACCAGTACCCCCTTGAGTTTGAGTTTAATCAATACTATCTGAAGTTTCTGGCATACCACTACATCTCCAATCGCTTCAAAAACTTCCTTCTGGACTCGGACTACGAGCGCCTGGAGCACGGTGTGTAACTCCTCATGTTGTCCTTTAAGAAGAAACACACAGTCCTCCACAATACAGTATTTGTCTTTTTGTATTGCCATAATTACATTATTGTGCAAATGTTTTTCAGCTGTGTTCTTCAAATAAACAAGGCTTTGAATGACTGTATAGTATTACAACAGACACATGCAGTCTTGCTCAAAAAAGTTTTACCTACCTGTAGCAGCCCTGATGACCTTTGGAAGCACTTCTTTTAAGTGCTGCTAGTCTTATCAGACTTGGCTTCTGATATTTTGTTTCACACCTTATCACATTACTCTGAGTAATGTGCAATTAACAAGTGCTTCTTTGTGTCTCCTCACTAAAGGCACATTGTTTGAGGACAAAGGAGACAAGCAGTCCAAGAGAGGAATCTGTATCTGGGAGTGTATCAGCCGAATGCACCGCAAGAGCCCTCTCTTCTTCAACTACCTGTACAGTCCCTCAGAGACAGAGGTAAAGAGTCTATCTGGGTGTGTGCAGATGTACTAGACAGCTCTAATGGTCTTTACCCTAGAGCACTCTGCTTAAAGGTTATGTTGACTACCAGTCCCAAACATGTTGACGTCTTTTGCCAGATCACGTTCACAGTGAAGAATAGTGCCACACAATTGCAAAACAGCCTCTTTGACCTTATAAAGCAGTGAATCAGGTGGTGACGGTCTGTAAAAAACAAAGTTAGAATGGGAAAGTGCCCTATCCTCAGATCCAGGGTGTGAGTAAATGTTGTTTTTATCATAGGTATCTTCTCACTGGCAGTCATCTCCTGATATTCTTTCAAAATGAGTGAATCGGTTCAACCACAGTCACACAGCCCAACAAAAAATTATTGCATGAAGTTTAGTGAGAGCAAAGGGCCCTGTGGGCTGTTTCTTCTTTCTTCTCCATTCCTGTTTTACACTGGAGAAAGGGCCACACGTTGCAATCTTGAGACCGTGTGATTCTAAGGTTGGGAAAGAACAAGCATCATGCTTCTTCTAAGTTAAAAGTTCTGTAAGTGTGTGTTAGACCTGAAATTATCCAATCATGTTTTCAGTCTTACAAAAAAAAAATTTTTTTGCATCTTACGAACTGTTCGGTAAAGGAGACGTAATATTTACTAAACATTTGCTAAACAAGCTCTTCTGATAATATGTCAGCTTTTTTTTTTTTTTTTTTTTGGATCAAAAAAAAAGTACTTGAAATTGAAATGAAAAAGAATGGGAAAAAAATTTTTTTGCATCTTACGAACTGTTCGGTAAAGGAGACGTAATATTTACTAAACATTTGCTAAACAAGCTCTTCTGATAATATGTCAGCTTTTTTTTTTTTTTTTTTAGATCAGACATCAAAGTACTTGAAATGTACATGAAAATGACTGCGAGTCAGATTGCAACGTTCATATAAACTGACCTTTCAGAATCTGAAATCAGATCGGATTCATTACGATTGACGAAAAATTAGTGCATGTTAACATGCTTAATGGTAGAACAATACCTTCATAGGGTACGATTTTGGAAAGAGCGAGGGCGACTAATTCAGAGGCTAATTCTGGCAGAAATTCTACAGTGACTAATATTGCTTACAGCGCCTTTATGTAAAGTCAGAACTGAAAAATCCAACAAATAATGATTTCTTTGTTTTCCCCTTAGGCAGTGTTGAAACCATTAATTTCGATCCCCAATCTGACGACATGGGAGTTCTACACAGGGGAGACGCTGTCCACAGGCCCGTCTTATGACTGGCGTATGCTCACTGTGCGCTCTCAGAGCAACGAAGAGCCAGACACCATCGCCACCACCAAGAGGAGGATCGTCTGGCCATGTTACAGCAGCGTCAGCCGTGTCCAGCCTGATGCCATCACCAAACTCTTGGCTGTGAGTCTATATGTCTTTTGTCCTTTAATAGTTTCTCACCAAGTCCTTATCAGGACCAACGAGCAACCTTAGCTCCCACAATGAAATTGAAAATGCTGCATTAAAATTACAGCCAATCAGAAAAGTGACTACAAGTTTTCTCTGTTTGCACCACACAGATAGGTTTTCAAATATTCCAGAAGCCCCTCACTGCAGAACAAAGATCCAGGGGGCGGGGTTGGATCCACATCTAGGGGGTGGAGATGGGTGAGTTTAGGTATATGTAAGGTGGGAGGAGTTGGATCTGGATCTAACCTCGCCCCCTGGATCTTGTGTTCTGCAGTGAGGACCATCTCAAATATTCAGTGTTTCTGAACTTCTCAAAGGACAATCTGTCTCTCCTCATCCATGTTTGATGTTATATGTGAATAGCAGGATTTAGACGGGTCACTATAAATAAGGAGGACAAAAATGTCAAAGCAGAAGCCAAAGATTTCCTGGTTGATCAAAGGCACCAGTAAGAGGGAATGCCTTAAAATGGATTTGTATTGTTGCAGGACATTGAGAGGCTAGAGGGAGAACTGGGACAGCAGTCTGAGCCCTGGCACACCACGCTGGAGAAGGTGCTAGACAGCATCCAAGAAAACCTCAAACAGGAAGGCAATGTGAGTGCTGCTTCTCTTTCCAGCTACTTTAGTACCGCTGTGCTTCACAAATGTTGCCTCAAGTGGCATTTCTTACCCATTTCGTTTTCCAAATTGTATAATGTAAATGTGCACACTGTGTACAGAGTTTTTTTAGGCTTGTTTGTCATCACACATGTATGCATTGCATATTTATTTCAAGCCCAAATTAACATTTTAGCATTGACACTGACCCTTCAATCCATAAGTAGTTTAAAGTTACTCGTGTGGTTTGGATTCGTCTGTGTAAATTTCAATTTGAATGTACCCCTAAAATTTCAGAACTAATCTATAATGATTCTTATGGACCAACTCTCAAAAATAATTTATTATTGATGGGGGTTCTTAATAGAAACACTATATGTAGTAACCCCAATATCATGAGAGCCGCAGCTTTAAAGGAGACATTGGATGAAATGTTCACTTTTTTTGCATTTAGTTAGGTTTGCTGCTTTGCTTATGCATGCCTTGTGGATGGGAAACAGGCCTTAAAAAGCACTAAAGCAGCATCCTTGTTTGTAGACTTTGTAATTAGCAAAGTGTCTTCTCCAGATATACTGACCTCATCTCGTTCTTTTAATCTCATAGTTGCGGAAACAGTCAGTGTCCATCTCTGGTTTGGTCCCCACATCCAACCTGCAGGCCTATCAGCGACACTCCATGTTGCACCTACCTGACAGCGACCTCGGAGAGGACAGTAGTCCCACTGCAGTCAACGGGGTTAATCGCAGGGCAGCCACACTCTACAATCAGTTTACCACAAAGAATGAAGACAACAGGTAACAATGACAGACAACACCTTTGATACTGCTTAATCTAACTTTATAGACAAAGCAAACAAGCCATCATTTCTTTTATACAGATCATTTGAGGGAATCCTGTACAAGCGAGGGGCATTACTTAAAGCTTGGAAAGCTAGGTGGTTTGTTCTGGACATAACAAAACATCAGGTGAGTGGTTTATTACATTTTTGTATTTTGGTCTTTATCTTAATTTATTCATTTATTTGTCATGCATTTTGACTCACTCTATAGCTGAGGTATTATGAGACGGATGAGGACACAAGCTGTCGTGGCTATATTGACCTGGCTGAAGTGGAATCTGTCCTGATTGCCACACCAACTATAGGAGCCCCCAAACACATCAGTGAAAAGGCTTTCTTTGATGTAAGTATTCCACCAGTTAATGAAGCAATACAGTGCTTTACCAAAGACCTTTAGATATGCCTAGTCTTGTGTTGCCAGACCCTTTGGGGGACCTGATGTTTTGCCAAAAACCCCTGATCCTTTTGAAGATGGACCATTCACTTCTCAAATAAAATATGTTTTATCAATTTAAATTTGTTCTCCAAGTACTAGAAATCCATCTGCTCGTGATAAAAGCAGTCTGCGCTGCTGGCTGTGGTAGATTAGGGCTTAACTTACATGTTTATTCCACTAAACAAAGCCCTCGTTTTATGTTTTGGATATTTAAATAGCCAGATTAGCATTTTGTCAGAACCTTTAATAATTTACATGCTATTTTGTTCTTGTCTATTTTTTCAGAATCGTATCCATTTAAAAAAATAAAATAGTTGTGATTCTCCATTCTCAGTTTATCCAGAATCGTGCGGCTCTAGTTGGTCATTTATCCACATGTAATGTAAACAAATAAATGAATTTCAGATAAAGCATCAAAGATGTGGTCAGTGAGGCTCAGTATCCATAACGTGGGGGCGGGGCTAAGCCCCTTATCTCTCCCAACCCTAGTAACTCTCCGCCACTCTTTATTGAAGCATGATTACGCTTTGTTTCACATGACTTTGCGTTGCAATGCTCACGTGTTGAGCTGTTTTGTCCACAACCACTTTAAAAATATTCGATTTCTTCAGCGGCTGATTTGGCACACATTCTCTTTCTATGAAATCTGTAAATATTCACTGTAAACATTTTGTGACTGCATGGCCATATACAGTATATTAACGTTCTATAGTAACTCTATAGCGGTTTGCCAGAGAATTGCAATTATTTCGCATTTACTAGAATTTAATCAAATGGCTTTCCCAACATTTTTGCATGTCTTATGCGTGGTCACAATGTAAGAAGTGTGCGGCAGCGCATACGCGCAGCTTAGAGGGAACATTGCCTTGGAGGCTGATCAGCTAGCTGGTGTTCAACTGGATTCTGTAGTTACTGGTGACGCAGTAACTAACTACAATAGGAAAAAAAATCTTCGGTCGGTCCAGTGATTGTAAACACTCACTGGGTCTGTCAGACTGGAGAAATTTAGGGCTGCAGGGACATAGGTAATGTGACCAAAAATATTTAAGACCCATCAAATCTGAATTTAAGACTTTTTAAAGACCCGCGGCCACCCTGAATAAATCATTAATTCAGGAACATTGTGCAGGTTTACCACAACAATGGCACAGAGTCTACTTCTCATACTTTCCCGCATTTAGTTGAGCCTGATGCGTGATCATTGTAGAGACAGCTTTTTTCTTCCAGGAGGGAGTCTGGCGTCACAACAGCTTTGTTTCCAGGTGGACAACACATCTCCCAGAAATCCTGTAGAATTTCAACCAATCAGATGAAGCTTTGAAAACTCCCCAAATCTTTAATATTTCGTGTGTCTTATGCATCAGTCATTCAGCCCAAGTTCCGTGGGCATGACGTCTGAGCCTGAGGATAAGAGATACCAAGACGGTGCACTCGTATTGCATTGGCTGGCCTGAATTATACGCTTTGTTAATGCTATTTGAGCATAAGAAACAACATTTATGGGGCAGTTCATGTCAGATTGTGTTGCTTGTTTGAAATATGTTGTTTAAATGTGAATATGGCAAGCAGTTTTTGAGATTTAAGGATTTCGCCATTCAAGCAGATAGGATATGGCTTTGGATGCCTGAAAGAGCTTGCCGGAGCCGTTGCAAATATGGCCACTGAGTAAACTGAGTTTGCTTGAAAGGGAATTTGCTGTACTCTCTCAACCGAAAATTGTAACATTTTGAAAGTCTTTACTGTCACTTTTGATGACTTCAATGCACCCTTGCTTAATAAAAGTACACAAAAATCTCTTCTCTCTTTTTCTATGTCCCTGCAGCTGAAGACCACTAAACGGGTGTACAACTTCTGTGCAGCAGATGCTCAGAGTGCCCAGCTATGGATTGATAAGATCCAGAGCTGCATCTCAGATGCATGAAGCCGTTTTCTTCTACATGGCTCATCAGCACCACCTCTCACTGCAGGGAGACTCACTGTGCAATTAGTAGGACCGTAGTAAAGCCTTCAGTGCCTGCTGAAAATCCAAAAGACTCCTGAGAAACACTGCACCTGAACAGTGACGTACAATAACGGTGCCCCGTTCACTCGTCTGTGGAGCTGCATTTACTGTGTCCCACTACCTGTGCTCAAAAACTTGATCCTGAGCTTCTGTTCAGGTGACTGATGAAAACGATGTAATGCACTACTCTGACATTTGCTGAACAAACTGCTACATGCAACTAAGACAAAGCAATAGCACTAATCGTAAACTCGGGGTTCAAAATAGTAGTGACAAGAGGCATGTTCTGCAAAACAAAAATATTGTTGCTGCTGTTAAAATGCAAAACAACTACCAAAATCTGACAAATATTTAGAAAGATGCACAATGTGTAAAAGGCAAATGATTTGCACTTAATGATATGCACTCCGTACAAAACAGATTTTTAATGGCTAGAACAACTAGGTTAAAGGCGTTAGGTTTTAACTACACACAAAAGCTTGGAGCAGACAACTTTATGCTCTAGTGTGCAAAGTATTTTTTTTATATATATTTGCAACAACTTTTTTTTGTCAGTAATGCTATACTCATGCGTAACAGAGTTGTTGTTCTGTAAATTATTTTTTAAACATTAAAAGTGTCACCTGTGTGTTTTTGTTAAATGGAGAGTCTTATGTACATAATATTACAATTCCAGCTTTTTATACTCCGCTGAATATGCTGTTAAATATAGTATGTCTAACTTGAAATAAACACTCATATTTATACTTAATTACAGAATTTACGGACCAAGCAAAGCACTTCCTGCCTGAGATGGTTATCAGTAAGCTGTTTTGTTTGAAATGAAGGGAAGAACACTATATTTCTCCATTCTCTGTGACGTTACATGTGATATTGATGGCTCTATGCGGCTCTAAGGTTTTATCTATTTGTTTTGGTAGCATATCTGTAAAGTTTTAAGAAACACTCAAAACAAAATATCAGGCCAGATGTGATGTTACTGAACCTAAAATGACATTACTGTATGTAACAATAATTTGTAGTGCCACTAATGTTTCTGGTTTGTTTACTGTTTTTGGTTATTTTATTTTGGGTTTTGCTCTTATTTGAAATAAATCTAGAGAAGTTTAATTTTGTGACTGGATGACTATATATCTTAAATTATGCATGAACAATAAGGCACACTATGAAAGTATGTAAGAACGCAAAAGCACACGTTGCATCCTGAAATGTAAAAGTCCTCAAAACAACATTTTTTTACTGGACATCAGGCAAAAATAAAAAATGCAGGGCAGGCAGTTCAACAAAAGTGGGTTTTAAATGGTCAGAAAATTATATTGTTTCATTAACATTCAGATTGTCACAGCCACAGTAATGCAAGAATACATAAGTGCCATGAGACAGGAAAGTACACTTGCAATGTGCCGACCAAATTGTGGGTTTGATCCGGCTTGCCCTGATGTACCAAAATGTAATTTTGGTTTACTCTGTCAAAATGATTTTTGTCAAGTTCAATACAGAGGCTTTAAATTTAGCTCCTCTGCAGATATTTCAGCACAGTCGCTCTCATTGGCAATTGTCATCAAGCAAAGATCCGCAACATGAAATGCTGAAATCCAGAGTCCAACTTGAAGCTTCTGATGAATGATATCCACTACAGTCTTTAAAAGCCATTTAAAGCATTCAAGGTGCAACGTTAAAGTCGGCATAAAATAAAAATTAATCCATGCATGTCTTTTTTTAATTTGATTTCATAATGTTTAATCAAAATGGCATAACTGGATGAAAACGTCAGACTTCTCTCTAGTGACATATACAGGACTTCTCCATTCAGTCTACTTAAACCCGCTCCTGCAAGCTCATGTTCAAGAGAGAAAATCACTCACTTAGTAGCCCTAATAAGGATGAATATAAATTGAATTAATATAAATAATGAAGAATGTTATCATAGAGAACTCGTATTATATGTGACCATGGACCACAAAACCAGTCATAAGGGTCAATTTTTCGAAATTGAGATTTATACATCATCTGAAAGATGAATAAATAAGCTTTCCATTGATGTATGGTTTGTTAGGACAATATTTGGCCGAGATACAACTATTTGAAAATCTGGAATCTGAGGGTGCAAAAAAAAATCAAAATATTTAAAAAATCGCCTTTAAAACTGTCCAAATTAAGTTCTCAGCAATGCATATTACTAAACAAAAATTATGTTTTAATACATTTACAGTAGGAAATTTACTAAATATCTTCAGGGAACATGATCTTTACTTAATATCCTAATGACTTTTGGCATAAAAGAAAAATCAATAATTTTGACCCATACAATGCATTTTTGGCTATTGCTACAAATATACCCAAGCGACTGAAGACTGCTTTTGTGCTCCAGGGTCACATATAATCATTGGTATTTCAATGAAAAGTAGACCATGTACCCCAGCGACTGAAGACTGCTTTTGTGCTCCAGGGTCACATATAATCATTGGTATTTCAATGAAAAGTAGACCATGTTCTTTCTTTATATGTGGTTTTATTTCATTTTAAGATGTAAGATATGTTATGTGTCACAGCAGTTAAATCTGTGTCTATATTGCATGTTCAATCCTTAATATCATTCATATTAACGGGTTAATATGTGTTTTATCCAGGAATATATGAGTTTGGAAATTTTAGAAAATTGCTTTATAAATGCATTACACTGTAACTAAACCCATTATTTGACTAAATCTACTGTAGATTTAGTCGACTCAAATCTTATTATAATTAGTCGACTAAAACTAAAACAATTCAGATGACTAAAATATGACTAAAACTAAATGGAATTTTCCTCAAAAGACTATGACTAAAACTAAAGCATAATTTGCTGTCAAAATGAACACTGGCAGACATTTGACATCTCCAGGACTTTTGTTATCAGAACAAAATGAAAATCTGCTTTTCATCGTTAGCTTTTTGTAAAAGAAATTTTTTTAATTTTAAATAAGTTTTTGTGCTCTTGCTACTGTGTGGATGTAAAGATGTATAGCAATAAAGTAATAATTCATAAAAACATTTGCTTGGTTTGTTCTGGATGTATAGAAGACTACAAGCCCTAATAAGGATGAATATAAATTGAATTAATATAAATAATGAAGAATGTTATCATAGAGAACTCGTATTATATGTGACCATGGACCACAAAACCAGTCATAAGGGTCAATTTTTCGAAATTGAGATTTATACATCATCTGAAAGATGAATAAATAAGCTTTCCATTGATGTATGGTTTGTTAGGACAATATTTGGCCGAGATACAACTATTTGAAAATCTGGAATCTGAGGGTGCAAAAAAAAATCAAAATATTAAAAAAATCGCCTTTAAAACTGTCCAAATGAAGTTCTTAGCAATGCATATTACTAAACAAAAATTACGTTTTAATACATTTACAGTAGGAAATTTACTAAATATCTTCATGGAACATGATCTTTACTTAATATCCTAATGACTTTTGGCATAAAAGAAAAATCAATAATTTTGACCCATACAATGCATTTTTGGCTATTGCTACAAATATACCCCAGCGACTGAAGACTGCTTTTGTGCTCCAGGGTCACATATAATCATTGGTATTTCAATGAAAAGTAGACCATGTTCTTTCTTTATATGTGGTTTTATTTCATTTTAAGATGTAAGATATGTTATGTGTCACAGCAGTTAAATCTGTGTCTATATTGCATGTTCAATCCTTAATATCATTCATATTAACGGGTTAATATGTGTTTTATCCAGGAATATATGAGTTTGGAAATTTTAGAAAATTGCTTTATAAATGCATTACACTGTAACTAAACCCATTATTTGACAATCTATTGTAGATTTAGTCGACTCAAATCTTATTATAATTAGTCGACTAAAACTAAAACAATTCAGATGACTAAAATATGACTAAAACTAAATGGAATTTTCCTCAAAAGACTATGACTAAAACTAAAGCATAATTTGCTGTCAAAATGAACACTGGCAGACATTTGACATCTCCAGGACTTTTGTTATCAGAACAAAATGAAAATCTGCTTTTCATCGTTAGCTTTTTGTAAAAGAAAATTTTTTAATTTTAAATAAGTTTTTGTGCTCTTGCTACTGTGTGGATGTAAAGATGTATAGCAATAAAGTAATAATTCATAAAAACATTTGCTTGGTTTGTTCTGGATGTATAGAAGACTACATAAAGAATATAGAATGTAGCCGCTCCACATAAGTGTAAATGTTATGTTTACACTAAAAATACAGTATTTTAATATAAACTAAATTCATCAAAATTAATACCTGTGATTAGATAATCAAGGTAAATAATTAAGAACTATGATTTTGTCAGTCCTACATTAGATTTAAAAAAAAAACTTCTTGACCTTATTAAAAAACAAGACCAAATTCTGTGTACATCATTCATAATTTCTTATATAAATTGTCGCATTGAATTGAATGAGGCAAATTCATCATTAATAAACCATTGCAACTCAATAGAAGATCTGTGCAAGACAAAGAGATTACTAAGATCAATACTGAAATCTCGAAAATAAATTCAAGGTTCTTGTGCGACAAATACTTGCTTCTCTCTTCAGTTCTCAATAGACAGATATGCCTCTGTAGAGGCCAGGACAGTTCAAGTTCGTCATCAGTTGGCAGCTTGTATAATTTGATACACAGTGTGATTCAGCCCATTCATTTGGTAATATGTGCCTTCATTGAGGAAAAACATGGAAACAAGTCTCGCCTTTCTTCCCGGGATTCTGAACAGGATATCTCACTTAATGAAAAGTAAGATGAAACGTCTACAAATCCTTGTTGGACACACCTAACGGGTCGCATCTAACCATCAGAGCCAAGCGGTCTCACTTGCAGTAACGGATGAGTAAAAGAGGCCACAGGCGCCTTTGAGGCGAGACACTGCAGCGCCTCTCCGCTCCGAGAAAAAACGCTGATGGGACTGAGGTTTACAAGAGCATTGGGGATGTGCATGATGTGGGCTAGTTGCTCCCTGCTGACTTGTATTGAGAGCAGGTGTCGGCCTGGCAAAACATCTGGACTGGAGCTCTCTCACAATTCCCTCCAAATATAGATGCCTCCCGGAGAGGGAAGCAGCTGAAGAGGGAATGCTTGGAATGGGATGCTCTGGAGAAATTGCAGTTAACTGGCCGTCACAGGAGACTTATGAATCTGTTGGATGTTTCAGTGACTGAAGTCACAACAGTTCGCCTTCATAAATGGTTTAAATATGACCTCTTTCCATGCAGATTGTTAAGAATTGTGAGCTTATATAAATATGAAACATTCTTCTCCATAAAACAGATCAACATTTTATTTAAAGGATTACACCTTACTCTTTTGGAGGTCTATGTATGTAGATTTATCACAAGTGGTCATTGTTTATTCCGGGCACTAATACTGGCTGGTCATAGTTCAACTTGAATTTCAGAGCACATCCGTCTGTCTGAGATCCTTCACATTCTTATTGGCAGCCGCCACACATGGCAGATGTTCTTGTCTAAACACTAAAGTGTTTGACTGCTCACAAATCAGCAATGTGAACAATGCAAGTGTGACAAAACATGCAGAATGGGGATTACATGTAGACCGAATGCAGGTGGCACTGGCGTGCAGAACACACCTGTCCCAAAGATAGGTCACGTCATTCCACTTCCTGTTACCAGAAAAGAATCAACAGCACATTATACGCTCAATGCCGTCACGTTAGCACCCTATCTAGCTAGCTGGTAAATAGCTGTGGTTTGGTAACGTTGGCTTATAGAGCGCTGCAGCAATGACGTGTTTTAGTATGCCAACCTTGAAGTTAGCCTCACCCTCGACAAAAACCCAGTAGGATTTTTCCATTGGCTTTTGGATTAATGCAGAAAATAAGCTCTGTGACCAACGAAAGTGATTTTAACATGTTTTGTTCATCATGATCATCTTCACAAATCAACACAACTTTGAATTTTGAAGCCTAAATAGAGTCGCCAGAGGTAAAAACCTAAACGTAGCCTATGAACAAACTACACCACCTTCAACGACAACTCTTTCAGTCTTTATTTAAAAAAAAAAAAAAAACTTATGAAAATCTGAGTCAGAATTAGGAGTGTAACTGTTCAGATTGCTCACGGTTTGGTTCGGCTGACGGTTTTAGGGTCACGGTTTCTGTTCGATATGTGCTATGTTCAGGGAATAAAGGACTATGGTCAAATAAAAATAAAGAAATAAGAACAAGTAATCATACTACAGGCAACAGCACAAATAAATTAAATAGAG